GATACACATTCAAACCAAGCAGATGAACAGACTGGATGCAGAGAACAGCCTGGAATCAGCCATGTTTCACACTGAGGCCCCGTCCACACGAAGTCAAACCCTGGCCTAAACGCACAAATTTTTCACCAAACCAGCCTCTCATCCATACGAAGCCGGCGTTTCGGGGGTCTGTAAACGATCTTTTTTTTATTAAGCCTTCAGAGTGGGAAGATTTTGAAACGCCGTTTTCGCGTTTCCATCTTTAAGCTCTAACCGCATTTTTTTTCTTACACGCATGCGTCATAGCGTCGCCTCTAAACACGCATGCGCGACACAGTATCACAACAACAATGGCGCCGTACTGTGTTGAATGGTTGCTGCTCATGCTACTCACCCTGCTGTCGGGCTTACAACAGAATCTTCTTCTTCTGGAATATCTCCAGGAAGAACAGAGCAATATCGACGACATAGTTCAGCACCTGAATTTGACTGAACCACGAAAATGGACCTGCAGGGCAACCATGTATAAATATTAGTGCGCATGCCCAACATTTCTTCGCCTATTTTTGCTTTGGCACCACAGCGCCACTTACAGGCCTGGCATACATTTTGCAGCGTTTTCATGCATTCGTGTGGACGATCACATTTATTTTACGTCTCCGTCTTTACGACAAACGTTCTGGAAAATATTAGCTTTTCGTGTTCGTTTTGACTTCGTGTGGACGGGGCCTGAGCTGTCGGAGTTCATCAAAGCAGCTTAGGTGTCTCGATGAAAACAAAGTAAAACTAATGGATATAGTCTGACTAATTTTTGTTCTTTATTTTTTTCCCAATTCCTCAAGTTTAAATGTGATTATAAGGGAGATACAGTTTTGTAAATACAGGTTTGTAATATGATTTTACTTTGTATTTATTGCGATTCCCTACTATCTTCCAGGCAATATGTTTATGTTTTTTTTTTTTTTTTGAGATGGAGAGAATTAAATGCTCAAATTAAAAGATTAAGTAAAATAGTGTTTATTTTATTATCAGTTATTGTTCAGCATTTGGACAATCATCAATACTTTTGACTGAGAGGGAGACTCATGGTAAGGCAAAATTTACAAAGAGGTACACAAGTCGTAGAGCATCTCTGTGTCACCTGGAACAAACTGATGAACTTACATATCAGAGTAAAACTGAGGTAAAAACGTCCAGATCAGTTTTCCATTCATTTGTCAGCAGCTTGTTGTCTAAATATTTTACCGGGCCTCTGTCGCCCTCTGCAGGAGGAGATGAGTAACTGGATCCAGGTTGTCCTGAACGCCGCCACCACTGAGCGATCCGAAGTCCAGGGCAGTAACCCCGGCACGCCGTCCACCGGGCGCGCTCAGACGCTCCCGGCCAGCGTGTCGCTCACCACTGAGTCCAGTCCTGGAAAGAGAGAGAAGGACAAGGAGAAGGAGAAAGAGAAACGGTTCAGCTTGTTCAGCAAGAAGAAGCAGTAGAAGAAGAGCAACAAGGAGCCGCATTGGTGAAACCAAACCCGGCGCTCCAAAGCAAGAAACACCCGACCAGATCCGACCTGCTTCGGAGCGCTGACTCACATTCAGTTCCTGTCAGCTTTACTGAGATCAGAACTGCACATTCAGAACTTACCTGAAACCTTCATGAAGTCCGGCTGCACTTCATCATATGCCTTTCCTCTGCCACAGAACCAACCCCAGATCGGGTTCCAGCAGAACTTTCGGATCCCAGATCCAATCACTGTTCACTATCTAAAACCAAAGAGGGAAAAGGTCCAGGACTGAAACTGGTTCTGCTGTCAAAATGATTCAGACCAGTCTACAGAAATGCTTCTGCTGCAGAACCAATGTCAGACCAAGATCCAAAATGGTTTTCCAAACCCAGATCCCAGACCAGGACAAAAAAATGGTTCTGCTGCAGAACACATCCTCAATCAGGATCTAAAACTGGTTCGTACAGAACTGATCCAGACCAGGATCTAAAACGCTTGGAAAGCGAGCCTGAATGTGGTTCTACTGGAGAACCAACCTTAGTTTGGTTCTACCAGAGTAGTAGAGGTTTGGAACCGTTTTAGTAGCAGAATCCATCTGATCCTGATTCTGCACCTTGGGTCCAATTAGATCAAACCAATCAGACCTGCTTTGTCTAAACTGTAAGAGCCAATGAGCAGCTGCTGATGATGTCACCTATGATGTCACAGCGATGGACCAGTGGCAGAGGAGGACATCTGGTGAGGTTCTGAGGAAACTGAAAGTTTCACCAGCGTCGGCCCATTCCGTCGGTTCTGAATGTTTCTGATTCTGTTCTGTTGTTGTTTGTTTCTCTTGTCGGTGAGGCGCTGCTCTGCCTCTCTGATTGGTCTGTCTTTGTTCTGCCGGTCCTCTGATTGGATGTCGCTCAGCCTGCTGGTTCTGTGACATCATCTGGACCTGGTTCCCCTGGTTTTGATTTTCCTGAACTTATTTTTGTACTTCTATTTTTTTCCTCGGTTCTGATGGGACGTTGCTGAAAAACTGGACCAACTTTTTAAGGCTTGGAGTAAATCTTCGGTGTTGGGTGTAAAAAAGTTCACCTGCATGCCTCATGTAAGCTCACCTGACCCGTTTTCTTCTTTGGTTCCGTCGCTCGCTCCGCGTCACCGTATCCGTAATGTAGCGAACATGTATGGAAGTTCGTGTTTCTGCACAATCCGAGCTGCATCATTAGGAATGACCTATTAAAAGCTTTTCTCATGTATGAAGCTGCACTTGTTAAAGCTGCCAACTCATTAAAGCTATTCAACTATGACCTCACTTCCTGTTCCGTGATGTCATTTTATCACATTATGTTGAATTCACAGAAAATGCTTCTTATTTCACCGTTTTTGATTCAGAACTTTTTGATATTTTTCATTTTTTTTACTTTCTCAGTTAATTTCCTCAAAATACTGAAACTTATTATTCTTCATTATATTTTGATTTTTCGTATAACTTATTCTATTGTGACTTTTCTTTCTGTTATTAAACATTTTCTCAATAATTCAGAATTTTTTCATGGATTTCTTTCTTATTAAAGCTTTAAAGTTTAAACATTCTTATAGGTTAAACAAACATTTAAAAAAAAACTAACTTTATATTTAAGAGTTTTATCATCAGATATGGATTTTTAAGATATTACAGGTTTCTTTTCGAACAGCAGTTCAATTTTGTTTTTGGCACATTTAAAAAACTGAATGTAAATCAACAGAATAAAATGAAAAGAATGGAAAAAATTTATTTTTAAAGAAAAATGGTTTAAAAGAAAAAATATCAAGAGATGATTAAATCACATTATACTACCTTCTAAGTTAATATCATTTACAAAAATATATTGGTTTTTAATGTTATTTATCTCTTTACGATTGATTACCTCAATATTTTTTTTTACTATTTACTTTTGCTATTAAAAATGGATATATAAAAAATGCTACAAACCAGAAATAATCTTACATATTTAAAAAAAAAACATCAAAATATTATTAGAACATAACAAAAATGTATTTCAGTACAGATTTTAAAAACAAGTATGTGTCTCATCTTCATTCGTATTCCTTTATATTTTAAAAAGTTATTTCCTGATTTATTTTTTGACATTTGTTTAATGTTTTAAATAAATAAAAATGAAATGTTCGTGCTCCTGAGCGCAGGTCCATTATTCCCTATCCCGTCCGAACTCCAGTTCGGCTCGGCTGAATTTGCACTGGCAGGAGCGTCTCTCTCCAGAAAGCCCCCAAAACACTGCATTTCCCAGCATTCACTGCGCAAAGCTGATTCAGATCCCCCGCTGTGCTGAAGCCGCACCTGCGCTGTCAGCGCGCACAGGTGGCGCGAGCCAGACCGGAAGTTGGAGCTAATCACCAAAGAGAAATCATCCAAAAGAGGGTCTCCGTAGATTAGAACCAAAACTAGCAGGAGAACAGTGCCTGGTCAAATTAAGAACGCATATATGGGCTACGTGGGGGACACGTGACGTTTCAGTCCTTTTGTCTCCCTATCAGCTGCTCCAGGGGACACCTCAGGCTCTGTCCTCTGGATCTATGGTCATGGGTCAACTTCACATAAGAGCCAGGACTTGGTGTGACCAGGGGCGGAGCTAGATGGGGGGGTGGGGGGACGGCATGGCCACTATTTTCCTCCTCTACAGATGGTGGTGCAGTAATAATCTCAAGTGGAATATTCAAAACATTACAATTTTTCATACATTAACAATTACTTGACAACAAAAACACTGGTTAATTATGCACATCAATATACCAACATTAAAAATTATGAGGACAGAATTCATACTCTTTTCAGAAGTAGATTTTGTGTTTTATGGGTTAAATAGAAAATTCTGTCGCTCTGCAGGTCATCTAGGAGTCTCCAGTAAATTTATTGATAAACTATTTTAATAAACCGCATTAAATAATCAATTTATGTAGATATTAGTACTTGTAAATATAAATTTTATGCAGAATGTTTGCCCCAGAACTCAAACCTTAAAGAATTGTATCCATTATACCTTTTATCTGTAAAGCAGCGATGTTTAAATATTTATCCGTCTATTTGTAAGGTTGTAGGAAAGTATAGTTTGCTTTTATTTAGAAAAAAAGGATGTTGAGCCCATTAATTTTTCTGTTGTAGCTTGACCCTGAGGTTCTGGAGCCTATCCACTTTCAGCCACCCCTCAGTGTACAGTGGTTATTGCCTGGCCACCCATATAAAAATGTTCTGGCTACGCCTCTGCTGATAACCATTTATCAGCCACTGTGTAAAAAAAAATAAGAAAAAATTATCTCATTATAATTAGATAGTAACTCAATATAATGAGATACTATCTCAATATAATGAGATCATTTTTTTTTTTTTTAACAGACTAGTGGAAACGGGCTTCCATAGAAAAACAACAGTCATTAATAAAAAATAATTATGTTTGGATTCAGTTAAACGTGGGTGGGATTTAGTAGCTTTTATTTTGAAAATCCCCTGAGGAAATAGTTTTCCCTGTTTTCCAGCTTGACTCGGTCAGTGATCCCTGAGATTCCCGTTAATATTCCCACTTTGCTCCTGTTTCGGGGTCTCGCGGGCTCCCCGTGGCCTTTTAACCGCCGCGCGCGTGCGTCCAGTGGGGGAGCCCCTCCAGGATGGGTGTTGGTGCTGGTGTGGAGCTGCTGGTCCAGATTCTGGTTCTGTAATCTGAGGATTTCAGGCTGAACAGAAGGCGGAGGGATTTTCTCTTATTCCATCCTTCGCGGACTCATCAGCGGAATTAAACGCTGGAATTCTGATCGGGTTCTGCTCTGATTGGACCGGGACCCACCGGGCTGATAGGAGCCCCGCCGGTCCGCTGAGGATGCTCTCCGGATTACCAATCCAGGAACAGTTCAAAGAGCAGGATTTTAAAATCTTCATCCGGATACTGCTTCTAAAGGAACAGGTTCTATAGTTATTATGTGAACTGGATTTAAATTTGGAAATTTATAAAATATTAGAAATAAATAAACCTGTGAGAGACAGACATCTTATCTGGATCAATAGAAATTAAATATTATGATGAATAATGTGAAATACATAAATGTAGAAGAAAACCCAGAGGTTCTAGAACCTGAAATATTTTATATTTTTATTTAATGAATTGCCCAACCAGAGCAGGACACTGTAGAGACTGTTTGTTTTTATTGCTTTTCTACAAAATAAATGGGTTAGAATCTTTCAGCAGAACTATCTGAATATAAAACTATGCAAATTATGATAAACACACCTCCATTGCTGAAAAAAACTAAAGGAACAGCTAAGGGAACTATGCAGACTGAGGGAAGCATGTGGAGTTTAGAGATTCTACAATTTGATTGAAAGAATTTCATGAACATCTTTGGCTTGGTGTTTTGCTCCAGTCAAGAAGCCGCAGAATGGAAATGATGGGAGGTGTAGTTGGATAAAAGCACCCCCAGAGAAGGGACTACAGCTCCCAGCATCCTCAGCGGCAGTGGGTTCAGACTGACACTCTGAGGTCTTGTTAAACGCAGCTGGAAGCCAACATGTCGGATAAAACAGCTCCGCGCTGCCAGCTCCGGTTGGAGTGGATCCATGGTTATCGGGGCCACCAGTGCCGGAACAACCTGTACTACACAGCAGGGAAGGAGGTGGTTTACTTTGTAGCTGGGGTGGGTGTGGTCTATAACACCCGGGAGCACACCCAGAAGTTCTTCCTGGGTCACAATGATGACATCATCAGGTGAGGAGGAATACAACCATTCACCAATTCATTAATCCGGCCAGCAATTCTGAGCTTGAAAGATCATGTCAAGGGAAAGTTTGGTGGAAGAAAGAAAACAAGGAAGGAAGTCATCTCTGCATATGAGAGCAAAACATCTACACATATAGGCTAGCTAAAAGCTTCGGAGTCTCAGAACTACTGCCACCATGTTTTTGTGTCGGTGTTGGTAGAATATCCCCAGGATAGCATATAATGTTTACAGAGCAAACTGATAATTCAATGTTTAAACTTGTTCACTGTGGATCACTTCGATATTTCCATCTTTAGTTGCTTTCAGAACTCTTCCTGCTCAACTCTCTTGCTCAAGATTATAAAAATCGATGTATATAATCAGTTAAGTCCAAGAAAAATTCCATCTGTTCCAGTTAGATCCTAGCTATGCAACATGACACGTTGAAGGTGAGTTCAGTTTATTTTAGATCATCTAAAAAAAAAAACTCCAGAAGGTTCCATCCAGTCATTGACTTTGTAGCTATCCTCCTGAATGAGCATGTTGTGTCAGATGAAAGTCTCATCATTTCATGTGCAACAACCGTCCATGCAGGGCATGCATGCAGTGACAGTGGAGAGGAATAATTCCCCTTTAGCAGGAAGAAACCTCCAACAGAACTGGGTTCAGTGTGAGCGGCGTTCTGCCACGATCGACTGGAGGTTTAAGAAGACAGAAGGAGACAGATTAATGCTGTCAGACTGAACATAATTTCAGTGTCAGGGGTGTCTGGTTTACACGCAAAGTGGGATGAAAGTGGTCCTTCAGCGTGTTTTCATCATCTGGTGTGCCAATATGGAAAGTGTTTGAAGAGTTGAGTCCGGTGTGTGGAAAGCAAAAGACTCATATTGTTCGGTGTGAACTCATCATAAAGGAGACAGTGAGATGGAGTGCTATGGAGAAAATTAAGGCTCAGTTATGCTTGACTGAGGAGATGAGCTGTATGCAGCTTTTATATTCCATGATGCGGCTTTTTCCTTGTACCTAATATTCCGGCCAACTCTAGGTGGACCTAACACCACACTACATATAAAAGAAGAAAGCACAGCTTTCTTAAAATGTTTTCAAAATCTCATAGTAACAGTGTCAGTAAATTCTTGCTAAGTTTTTCACAATCTGTGTCAAGTTACCACAAGTCTACATGCGGTTATATGTAGTGGTTATGAGCCGAAAATCATACAATGTGTGCTAATGTTTATATTTAGGAACCCTCACAACTATGAGCTGTTGCTCGTCCACAATTTTTTTTCCGCCTTGAGCTGTCCTATACGGAAGAGGATTAGG